GTAGTACAGTGTGTACTACAGCCACCTTTATGCATTTATGATTCAATACTGTGTCTTTACATGTGTTTTCTTTCTCCCAATTGTGAATGGTGTCATGTGTATGTGTGTTTGTGTGTGCAAGTTTTGATAAACTTTTTGAAATAGATTTTTGTATAATTTCAAGAGTATATGATAAACTAGAGTAGTATCTATATATATTTTGTGCATTCTTGACATACCTAATTTTTTTTTAATATTTCTAGGCTGTGCGGTTCATCTGCAAGTACTTTCAAATTATTGCAAAGTTCTAAAATTTCCCAAGGTATTTTAAAAAGACTCTGCATGTAAATGGACCTGCACAAGTCAAATTGTTTTGTTCAAGGGTCAGCTGTATTTGGAGCAGGAATCCCACAGAATTTTAATGTAAACCTAAAGGCTTACAATTCCTAGTAAAAAGTTGAAAAGAAACAATAAAAGGACCTCGAGGGAAATAATAAATGCTTTCTGTTCTAAAACGAACCTTGCAGTTGAATACTTATGCACCAAGGCTAATTAAAAAATTTTCTTTTCTATACTGGAGAGACCCAAATTCTAAAGTGTTTTTTGCATTAGAATCCTCAAATAAAAGAAGAAAAGGCACCTGAAACAGCATTGCAAGGAAACATGTGAATACTCACCAAATTCACTTCTAGGCACATCTCTTCGACTGAGAGTAGCAGAGAGCGGTCTCACTAGTGGCTCCACTGTCAGTGGAGGTGTGCATTCTCCACCACTCACAGGGGATGGGCCAAAAGAGCCATTCTGGCTCAGAGGACCTAAAGATGACAGCGTCTTGTTACCATATTATGACCTCCTTTTGTTCTTAAGTTCTTGCAATTATTTTTAGGGTATCATAACCATTATACACAGAAACAAAAGTCATTTATATACATTTTACACCCAAACTAGACTGTTGCCTTTTACAAGTTGCTCCCTTACCTCTCTGGGGAGGGTTTTGTGTATTTCGCCTTCCAAGCATTGGTTTTACAATCACAGGTTCTTCTTGTAGGATTGTCATCTTTTCCGTGAATTCTAATAGTCTTGAATATAGAGAAAGAGTATTTAAGAAAGACTTAAATATGAAACAGAAACCAATTCCTTAAGAGGTTACACTGAAAACATAGGCATCAAAATCACATACTTGCGTCTCAAGTTTGTAGCTTCCATTTTCTCTT